CCCCAAAACCCCAAAACCCCAAAACCCCAAAACCCCTTCAATAAATATCCTAACTGAATTTATGCTTTACTGTCTAAGTATAAATTTACAACATCTGTGTTATTTTGTGAATGCACCAAGTAAGCCATTAAGACCGAAGGAAGGACTCCAATACATCCAAAGGTGCCTACCTTCATTAGTTTATTAGTCAAGATGCCTAGAATTTATGCATTATTTACCATTATTGAAATAGCAAAAGCCGAAGATGAAGGTCAGATAGCTTCCTACAAAGGAGAATCTCATTAAATTTTTCATCCTAATAGAGGAATACTTGTTATAAAGCTCTTGTGAATGAGCATCAGTGTCTTTAGACTCATAAATCTTGGCCAAGAAGGACCCATGGGCTAGATAATGACCAGAATTGCTTACCTTTCTTAGTGATTAACTCAAAAGCATCCAGCCTTGCTTGTTCAGTGTCAATATCTCTAGAGGGTTAAGATTGTTGTACTTTAGTCTCTGTAAATATTTCGTTGTCTGAGTTCTAGAGAAATTGTTAAATACTTTAAAAGTTCAAGCTGGGGCAAAAATTAAGCAGGTGGTTTGATACACAGATATAATATTTTAGCCATGCCTCGGTTATCACAGAGATGCAGCAATTAGGTTTCCAAATTTCTACCGCATCAATGTCTGATTTCTAAATTTAATCTCTCAACAAAATAGAAATCTCAATTGACAAAATTCTAAGGCTGCTTTCTAAGTATATCACTCAGCCCAGGAAGAGGGACTTCCTTGAGGCTTATATAAAAGTGTTTAAAGGTATTCCCTTTGTTCTGGAAAGCCGCTGTGCTCTTACTTTACACTATTTTTGAGGTCTTGATTCTGTTCATAAATTTCCTAACATTTAGACACAATTCTACTGAAATCTGGTCTATTTTGGTCTGGATTCTCTTAAGTTGCTCTAATTCGTGTTCATTTTGGATTTTGATCGAACTTTTCTTGAAATCTATAGATGATTAGAAGGATCTTCACCGATCTGGAGGATATCGTAAGATTTCATGGAGATGTGGAGGAAATTAATATTTTTAGATTTTATTAATTTTCTACAAAGGCTATTTGAGGGGTTTTGGGGTTTTGGGGTTTTGGGG